GAAGAGCTCACAGCTGCTGCAGTAGGAGAGAGGTGCCAGGAACCGGGGCTAAACTCAAGGAGAGGGAGGGGAAGGGAATCTGCACTTGACTCAGCAGTTCTGCAGGGCTTGGGGAGGTGCAGGGAAACAGGGCTCAGCTGTGCTGTGGGGGAGGCATGCAGGGAACCAGTGCAGGGCTCAGCTGGGCTGAGGTGGATGGGGGAGGGCATGCGGAACAGATGGGCAGCTCAGCTGGGCTGTGAGGGGCTGCAGGGAACTAGTGCTGCACTCCCTTGGATTGTAGGGGATGGTTTTGGGGGAAGTGCAGGGAACCAGCAGGGGTGGGCATCTCAGTTGGGTTGCAGAGGATAGAGGTGCGAAGAAGCCTAGTGGGGGGGGGGCAGGAGCCCTGAAATGACCTCCCCTGGTCCAAAAATCCCTCATCTGGGACCAGTAAGGTCCAAAGGTTGCAAGATCAGGGAGGTCCAACTCCTACCCAAGTCCCCTCCTTGCACCCTCCCTTGTAGCCAGACACCCTACCCCCAATCTGCTCCTGCTCCCTTCCCCTGACCAGACACCCTACATCCAGCCTGCTTCTGCACCCTACCTACCACCCAGACCTTGCCCCCTTCCAAACCCCACCTCCCTCCCAGATCCTGCACCCCTTCCCTATCTCGCTCCTTGGTAGCCTTGCCATTCACCCTAGCAACTAGCACGACCCTGTCCCTGACCCCAGCACCCTGCCTCACACCCCAGGACTCAGCACCGCCCTGGCCCCAGCACCTTGCCAGTCACCCTAGTGCCCAGCAGGACCATGTCCCTGACCCCAGCACCCCAACAGCTGCCTGCCCCAGCACCTTGCACCAGCACCCCACCACCTGAGCCAGCATCCTTCCACCCAGCAGCATCCTCTCCCCATCCCCAGCACCCACTTTCACTCTGTCCACTGCCCCCACCAGCACCTTTGGGACCACATTAGTGAGGTTTGGGGTGTGACGGCGCGTTAGGGCTGGCCAGCAGAGGCAGCGAGTTATATGGGCTCGTGGTGCCCATGCTCCACCAATATTTGGAACTGGAGCAGGCCCTCGCCCCTCCGCATGTCCTCCCACCCCAGACTGTGTCTGCCGTGCCAACCTTAACTGAGCTCCCCCTTGCCGGCTGCTGCTGCCCAGCTTGGCGTGCTCAAAGCGGTGAGCAGCGAGATGCCCAGGCGTGACGTAACGTCACGGCCTGGGATTTTACAACTGCTGGGCGATGTGTTGCACTGTGCGGCTGCGTTGCCGGTTCGGAGTCCAGGGACTAAGCGCAGACTACAGCCCTGCAAACTGAAATGCAGAAGATAGGGGAAGCGGAAGGGCTGAGATAGGAAGGGGCTTGTGCAGAGGGGGAGGGGAAGGCACCAAAGGAACAGGGTAAAGGAGAGACAAATGCCAGGGGGCCAAGTGCAAACAATGAGGAAAAAGGCACGAGGGGAGGCGTCAGTGGGAGGGGGACAGCATGATGGTGGGAAGGGAGAGGGTAAGGGCATTAGGGGCTAAAGGGGGGAGGTGCTGGGAGAAGGCTTGAAAGAAGAGGTGGGCATGAGGAAGGCCGGGATGGAGCAAGTCATGTGTGTGGGCACAGGGGCATGAGGGGAACGGAGGCAGAGGATGGTGA